CGAGTAGAATATGTAATATCAAGGGTGGAATAATACAGAATAGACAATAATGAAGAATAAATTAATAGTAAATTATAAAGTAAAATAAATAATCATGAAATGTAGTTTTTTAATAGTATTGTGTAATAATTATTAAACAAAGTAAGAAACAAGTAAGGGGGTGGTTAGAATATGAGCAGGGTAATTCTGGCCATTCATTCAGGGCTATGCTGGGTTTTAACTAGTACTAACACAACATTAGGCTGTGGAAGTGTAGCCTACTCTTATGCAGAAAACAGGCTTTCTTCAGCTTTCCTTAAAGGGGTCATATGATGCTTTTTTAAAGATCATTATTTTGTGCATTTGGTGTAACAGAATATGTTGACATGATTTAATGTTCAAAAAGCTCTCTCTCTCGCTCGCTCTCTCTCTCGCTCTCACTCTCTCTCGCTCTCTCTCTCGCGCGCTCTCTCTCTCGTGCTCTCTCTCACGCTCTCTCTCTCTCTCTCAAATTCAAATTCAAATTCAAATGAGCTTTATTGGCATGACTTGCACAGTATTGCCAATTGACACATATGCCTCTGTAATTGCTTGGATCAAACTTGTCTCCTTGTTTAAAGATGGGTGTAATTAGGCCTTTATTCCAGGTGTCTGGAAAATATCCTACACTCAAAACAATGTTGAATAATTTGGTTATTGCAGTTTTGAATTGATAATTTGTGTGTTTGATCATTTCGTTTAATATGCCGTCGATGCCACATGCTTTGTTGGGTTTTAGTGCATGTAGTCTGTCTGTTAGCTCATTTACTGTGACTGGGAAATCCAGGGGATTCTGATTGTCTTTAATTTTTTCTTTCAGGATTTCTAATTTGGTTTTTATTTCATTTCGAGCAGGATTTGTTTCAGTTGTTTTGTACAGATTTTCAAAGTGTGTCCTCCATATGTTCTCATTTTGAATGGCCAATTCTTCCTTTTGTGGTCTATAGAGAGTGTTCCAATTGTTCCAAAAGTTATTGGTATTTATTGATTCCTCCATTGTTTGAAATAATTGTTCTGTATGCTCTTCCTTTTTTGCTTTTAGAGTTTGTTTGTACACTTTAAGAGCTTCATGATATTGAAGACGGAGTTCTTGGTTGTCAGGATCTGTGTTTTTTATTTGAAAGATTTCGTACTGTCGTTCTAATTCTTTTACACTCATCGTCAAACCACTTTTCATTGGTGTTTTTTGGTTTTCTTTTTGATGATTTTTTCAAATTGCACATGGATGCTGATTGGTGAAATATATCTGTAATGTCCTTTAGTGCCAGATTTATGCCTCTCTCTCTCTCTCTCTCTCGCGCTCTCTCTCGATCTCTCTCGATCTCTCACGTGCTCGCTCTCTCTCTCTCTCTCTCTCACACACACACAGACAGACACACACAGATGCACCCTTCTCACTCAAGAAAATCCGTGCTCACTGCACATATTGTGCTCATAACACAATTTACTTCATGATATAAACTACAAAAGAGTTAAAACTTAAGAATTCATTTAAACTTTGATTTCATATAAAGTCTCATCTTTCACAGCTTACTAGCGATATCGCTAGCTATTAATAGTCTGACACAATCGGACGTGTCCGAAAGAAACGGTCTCGGTACTGGAGACGCGAACCGTTTCAAACGATTCAGTCTGATTTGGTGAACTGGTTCAACCGGTACACTAAGAAGAACCGGTTAAATCGAACGATTCGTTCGCGAACCGGACATCACTAGTGTGCAGTGGTCTGGCGGTCTGGCCGCAAAAGGTCAAATATTTTAACGCATCCGAAGCTCAAATCGTATCCGAATTTTCCGCATACGCATATGATCGGAAGTCCACGCAGCTCCCGCACTACTCTCCATTGGAAATGAATGACTTCCGGTCGATCGTTTGTCGGAGATAGTGGAAAGGCAGCTTCAGGGAGACAATCATGTAAAGTAACAGTGAATTAAATGAATGTTAAATAAATAAAATTAATGTAGAAGCGGCCAAATCAGTCAGCAGGACACCAGGATTTTTCTTTACTGCAGGCTGTGCACACGTCGCTGTTTACGTTCGGGTCCAGTCGGGTTCGAAAATAATGCAGTCGGGTCGGACTCGTATTGTAATTTTGGTCATATTGCCGACCCCTAGCCCACACGGCATATGTTAATGTCTCTGTTATTTTACTATCATCGAGATACTATTATAGTTTTAGTTTTATGTTTTTTAATTATTTTTTATTTGGATATTTTTTATTTTATTTTATTTATAATCTAAATGAAAATGAGAGATTTTACTGTGGCAACTAAGTGAATTAAAATAAGTTTAGGTTTTTATATTTTATTGTATTTCAGTTAACGTTTATTTTAAGTAACAAAAATGTTTTTTTTTGTTTTTTTTTAATGGTTTTAGTGTTAGTTAACTAATAACCCTATTGATATGGACAAACCTGAAGTCATGGATTCTGTGAAAGATCTAGAGAAGAATGAAAAGTTTGCAGATCAAGAGCGCGAGATTAGAGAACCCGTTCAGAATGGCCTGGACTCCACATGTGCCTCAGTGTCATCAAGCCCCACTGAGAAAACCAGACTCACTGGACCAAGGTTAGTACTTCCTGCTATTCATTATTATTACCATTAGGTGGTGCAAAACTCCCAGTATAAAAGACAGAGTTCATAATAGTGTTCAGTGACTAAGTTTAGTTATTAGTTTGCTGTGTGTACGCACTAAGAGTGTAATCACACTTGCCATAATAGAAATAGATCAATTGTCAAAGAGGGAAGCTTATGTGCCATGCCAAGGCAAACAACTGGCAATAAAGTACAAACACTAGTAAAGTACAATGTAGCAACAATGTCAACATTAGTTGCCGTAATTGTTTTAAATGAGCCACTGTTAATTTAAACACCATACATTAGTTATTTCATGGCTTTGTCTACTTCCTGTGGGTAATAATGTACAGTATATATAATGTTTTAATGTGTGATTACGCCACATGGTGTATCAGGTCTAAGCAGTGTTTATGCAGAAGTTCTTCATGCAATTCTTCAAGACAGTAGCTGTCTGAACAGCGTTCCTTTCAACTTTATTTTGGGAACATTTTTATGATTGTAGATTATAGTGACCGTTGGCATAATTTACAGGGCTCAACGCTAAGGATTTTTTTCTGCTGGCCCAGTTGGGCCAGTGGTTAAAATTTTCACTTGCCCCACCAATAATTTAATAAATAGAGGACCAAACCTGCAGAAATAAAAAAATATATAGATAAATAAATAAATAAAATGACAGGAAAATAAATAAAGAAATAAATGACTTGATAAAAACAAATATAGTTCATTTGTAATACAATTTAACTGTTGGTGTTGCGTTTATAATTTTGTTCAGTGTATGTATTTATTTATGTTTAAATGTATATATGCATTTATTTATTTTTTATATTTATTTATTCCCACATGTATTTATTTCCAGATGTATTTATTAATTTAGAGCTCATGCAGAAGCTTAAGTCAAACTAACGATAGAGAGTTTGCTACAGGATGTGTCAGATCAACTGGAGAGTTGCAAGATATTTTCACAGATCCACATTATTATGTCAAATTATTTTATAGCGACTGAATTCAGCTATTTATCCTCATAGTTTCGTCATTAAGCCCGGAACCATAAACGTCGTCGATGAGTTTCTAGGTTGATGACGCCTCTAGACACACTCGGTGGAGGTTTCTAAGGCGTGTGTTCATTTTGTAATAAGAGGGAAAATTGTGACTCCCAAAAGCGTTGTGAGCCTAAGTTTTAAGACTATGAAATGGCCACATTAAAGCATTATACGTGTGTGTGTGTGTGTGTGTGTGTGTGTGTGTGTGTGTATTACTTTAGAATCTTGTGACACTGAAGACTGGAATAAAGGCTACTGAAAAAACAAATAGAATATATTAAAAATAAAAACTTGTTAATAAAAAAGCAATAAAATATTAACAAACATTAAGTATAAAAAAATGCAACTTCAAAATAATTAGAAAACATGACTAAACACTTTGAGATACCAGATTGTCCTCCTTGTCAGAATTGCCCAATAACCACTCTATCATTTCTCGTTTACAGTGATTCAGTTGCTCTAGAAGACACTGAGGCCATAGGTGAGATTCCTGTGTTGAGCGAGGCAAAATTAGTGGAAGAAGTTGTAAAAGATGCAGAAACTGGACCTCAACAAACAGAAGACGAAAAGGAGAAACAGGAAAAGGAAGCTAGTGCTGCACAGAAAAACGAAGGAAAAGAAGACACTTCTGCCACCCCAAAATCAGAGATCCTTTTCAGCAGTGGCACAGTAGAGGTGAAGCTGATACAGAAAGATACAGAAGAGAGTGTGGAGGAAGTGCACGAGGCATTGGATGAGTATGTGTCACTCTTTTATTCTGGTTTCCAGCAATACCTTTAGTTTGGAAAGCAGATGGTCAATGCATTTGGATACCAGAATCAATTGTTAATTAGACAAATTAATGATGAGACAAGATTATGCAGGATTGTGAGTATAGTTTTGCAACCAGTGCCGGCCCGTCCCAACAGGCGGTACAGGCGGTCACCTAGGGCCCCGCCTTGACTTTGATGTCAAACACTTATCGATCTGCAGCGCCCCTTTAAGTCAACACACATACAGATGACGCACCAGGGCTGTACAGTGCGTTTAAACACATTAAAAGGGGTCATATGATGCGATTTAAAATTTTTCCTTTCTCTTTGAAGTGTTACAAACTCTTGGTGCATAAAGAAGATCTGTAAAGTTGCAAAGACTAAAGTCTCAAATCCAAAGAGATATTCTTTATAAAAGATAAGAGTCAACCACGCCCTCCTAAAACGACTCGCTCTAACACGCCCCCACATGTCTATGTCACGATGTGGTAATATTTGCATAACACCGCCCAAATGTTCACGCAAAGAAAGAAGGTGTAACTTTTATTCTCGCTGTAGTATTGTTGCTGCCGCCATGTCGAGACGCTGTGTGTATCATTGTGAAAGCGAAACTACTTTCTTTGGCCTTTCAAAAGAGGACAATATCCGCTTCGTCATGCCTGGAGCTGATCCGTGCTGGTCGCTGAGGAAATACATTAACTTCGCGCTGTGGATCGCCGGATCGGCTTTCACCGTGGATGAAGCGGAGTCCAACCCGGGGTCGTCACATGTGGTTGCGGCAAGCCCGCCGGCCGCTCCTTCGTCGAATCCGTTGGCTGCGCCGTTCTCAAGCCCGCCGGCTGTTCCTTACTCTAGCCCGCCGTGTGTTTCGTTGTGAAAGCGAAACTACTGTGTTTGGTCTTCCAAAAGAGCACACGACTAGAAATCAGTGGTTAAGTTGTATTTACAACACTGTTCCAGAACACTTCAACCCAAATATTCAGATGTGTGCAGCACATTTTATGGAGGACTGTTTCCTGATCCTGGTAGAGTAGACTACAATGCCGGCTGTTCTGACTCAAAGACTGTAAGTATGTCTTTTATATTTAAAGAGTTTTAATATTTTATATATTTAAAGCGAGTTTTTGGGCAGTGTAGAGTAGGGTTTAGCGCATTTTATGGAGGACTGTTTCCTGAAACTGGTAGAGTAGACTACAGTGCCGGCTGTTCTGACTCACAGCCTGTAAGTACGTTTTCATTTAAAGGATTTGCCACTGATGATTCAAACGCGAGTTTTGAGCAGTGTAGAGTAGTGCTTGTTGTTTGTCATTTCTCCGATCACGAATGCAGACATGGTTTTATGTTTACGCGGCGCGATGCAATGCAATGCGTAAAAAGACAGAATAAGTCATTATAATCCTTAATTATGTCCCCACTGGATGCAACAAATGCCTCGTTTATAATGGGTTTTAATGTTTTTGTCTCGTTGCTCCGGCCGGACAGGGCATCACAGTATGGTAAGGGGCGTAACATTTCGCGTGCGTGACAATTTTTACACTAGTGGGGCCTATTTTCGTTATCTTGCCTAAGGCCCCACAACCCTACGGGCCGGCACTACTTGCAACCCCTTCAACCAGAACTATATTTACAATAATGGAACTATCCGATTTATAGTAGTGAAGGAGGGGTTTTCACAAACAATATGTGAACAACTGACGTAAAAGAGCTAAAGAATCATCTCAAAGCCTCTTTAGATCCAGTTAGACTTGCCCTGCATGATGAATCATTATCATCTGGGATGTTGTACTTTAATATAATAGTTTTAGCTCTTCCAGCTAGATCCTCAAGACTGCTTGTCATACTTGACATCATATGCATGATAGTTCCTCTTTATGCCATAGGAGTGCAGACCTATATCTGGGAGCAGAGGAGATGGAAATGGGAGCCAGCAATAACAAGCCACCCAAACCACTGCTGGAGCTCACAAGTATCAAAGATTTTTTCGTTAGTTTACCCAAAAATGAAAATGAAGTCATCATTTATTCACCCTGGTGTTATTCTAATGCCATATACCCTTCTTTCTTTTTTGGACCACAAATTATAAAACAAAATATATTTTTTTAAATGGGCTTCTCCATATACCGCATATATCTGGTCCAGAGATATTCAATTCTATGAATAAAGTTTGATACTTTACAGATAATTTTTTGGGGGATTTCTAGGCATTGTATTTCCAGGGTCTGGATTTTCATATATAATGCATTACATTTTGGTTTGTTTTTCACCAAACCCTATCGTTTACTTTTCCAAGTCAAGTCACTTTTATTTATATAGTGCTTTATACAATACAGATTGTGCTAAAGCAGCTTTACCGTTTTAAACAGTAACATATTTTTTAAATAATGCAAACAAAATTCAATTCCGCTGTAAAGCAGCTCTAACAAGAGAATAAGATTAAACAGTCAATTTTCCAGTTAAAGTAAGTTCATCGTTGATTCAGTGACGTCAATGTCCAGCTCAGTTCAGTTCAGTCGACAGTATTGCCAAATAATTAGTGTCCTCAACTAAGCAAACCAAAAGGCTACAGTGGCAAGGAACCCAAACTCCATCGGCAGGGCCGGATTTACGCTTAGGCATTCTAGGCACGTGCCTATGCTCGCTCGTCCAGGGAGGGTCCGAACACAATGAAGAGATATAATATTTTGTTATACTATGGGCTATCTACAACAATAAAAGAACCAAAACCTCAGAAGACATTGAGCAAATAAATATAACAAACAATAAGGTAAAAAATGACAAACTATTTCCATGTCTTCCATGATCTGTCTTCACGCTTTCTCCTGTTCTCTCTATGTCTTCCACCTTTTTTATGTATGGAAATCGCGCTTTCTCCAGATCTCTCTCACAGACAGAAACTTGTCATCAACGCCGCCCCGTGAATTTATCAATAAAATAGTTTCGCAGCTGAAAGCTACAAGACATTTCTCAGTAGGGAGGTTCTTGAAGCAGTTTAACTTAAAGATTCGCTACTAGTAGACGCTGCTGCTGAACACTGCTGAGAGACACACAGACGCATGGTATTCACACGCGCTTAATCTCTCGCTCTCTCTCTAATAACTGCATTAGCCTGCATATCAATGGCTCAAGCCTCTGTTATTAGCTCTAAAATGACGTTTTGGAATTTGGTTTGGTATGAGGTGCTTAAAAAATTGTTCAACACATTTCAGGACGGAAACATGTCAAATATCTTGAAACAAATCATCTGAACAATGTCTTGATGTGTGGTTGTGACTCCTGGCCATTAAAATTCTTAGAGAAATAACTCCCGAAGTGGTACGCCACGCCTATTAATGGAATGGTCTTTCTGAGTTCTCAAACAAATTAGAGCTACATTCGATTTTTATTGACTGAACGCAAGCGCTTATTGCAATAGAAAACACTGTAACGTTTCCACTGATTAAGAAATATTTTTGTTTGCTTGGGTGGTAATATTAGGCCTATTATATTAATAGGGAAGGGGGGCCCAAAAATGTGTTTTGCCTATGTCACGAAAAGAGGTAAATCCGGCCCTGTCCATCGGTGACAGAAACAGTTGCAAAATACGGCACGTGTCACATTTCATTCTTGGGTAAATGATCCCTTTAAGGAAATGTATAACAGGCAATCAAATCATTGTGAAAATGTGAAAGGTCCAAAGGTTTTCTGCATCCAGATGAACATCTCATTGGGTATTTGCCATTATTTGTTTTTCTTCTTGTCTAGTTCCTGGTATAGAGACCAGATGTAGCTTAGCACCAGCTGTGGACATACTGGCCTACAGTGAGAGAGAATGGAAGGGAAACACGACCAAAAGCGCTCTCATCAGAAAGGTGACCTAACTAACTTTGTGATATTTTTTTCCTGAAATGTATTTAAAGTATGCTATTGATATTTTGATTGACATGTCTGTGCTTGTTTAAGAAGTCTGACTTACTTCAGTGTGTTTGTTTAAGGGCTACAGTGAGATGTCCCGTAGCTTTAGCGGTCTGAGGAGAGTCAGAGGCGATAACTACTGTGCCCTACGAGCCACACTGTATCAGGTGCTGGCAAACAGCACAAATATGCCCACCTGGCTGCAGGATGAAGGCTTTCTATTAGTGAGGAGACCTCTGTTCTCGTAATAACTTCAGTCAGGGTAGACACCATATGTAATTTGACTTTAAAGTGACTTTAAAACCCTGGAGCTGTCAAAAGTGTCAAAGCGCGTCATTCTGTAGATTTTAGCTGACAAATAAACAGCTAGATCCTGGGTGCAGGTAACATGGAGAAGGAGTACTGATTATTCGTTTGCGTCAGATAACATATGGCTTCTACCCAGACTAAGGTTTATAAGCTGACAGTAGGAATGTTAACATGCAATTTTCATCAGTCAGAATGAATCCAGTCCGATTTCACATTCTTAAAGTTCTGATTATATGAACTGTAAACATAGCAATCCGGTTCACATATTCGTTTACATGTGCATTACTTGTATTTCATACACAACTTTACTGCATGCGTATTGCCCAGTCGTTGCATGCAAAAACAGAGGAGGTCACCATATAATGTCACCAGAGCAAACGTGAGCATAATTAAAGCTTTTGCCTTGACACTGCTAAAAAAAAAAGCTTAAATATATGAGAAGAGTTTATATAAACAAATGTTCAGTAAATATTCAGTTTCATGAACTTGAGCAGTTCACAAGACATGAAACATAAATAAACACTTTTTTTAGTTTGTATGACATAAAACGTATGTAAACATACACATCATGGCACAGGTACTATATTTTTGAATCTGATTGAGAAAACAGTCAGATTCAAATGTTTATATGCTTAATTTTTGCCTGTGGATCAGATTATTTTAGGTCTATACCACCCCTTTCAATTCATTCGGATCAGTTGAGGTGTTTACATGAAGGCTTTTCAGTCCAATTGAGCCATCAATCTGATTAGAAACAGATTATTTGGATGTGTGTAAACGTAGCTAATGTATGTGTTGTTTTCTAGCTCAGATTAACAGCTGCTGGTTATTCTCACAGTTACCAGAGAGGATTGAAGCTCAGGAGCATTTGATTGCTAGATGGGTGTTTCCTTCTGAATGCAAGTCAGGAAGTGAGAAGGAAAGTTCTGTGGAGAGACTGAAATGTTATTTGGATCTCCTTAAGAAGAAGGTGAATCTCATTTTTTTCTGCTGTGCGTTACATTTATCTTATTCAGACATGAAATAGTTTAAGTAATATTTAAAAAAAACATTTAAATTAATCTATTAAATTATTCAGAAGTAACAGTAAGTGCCTGGCAACGATTAATCGCGATTAATCACATACAAAATAAAAGTTTTTATTTATATAATATATGTGTGTGTACTGTGTATATTTATCT